TTACTAATAACCTGCCAAATTTTGTTAACATACACTTACTAATTTAAAAGTTATAGCATGAAAACTATAACAAGCACAAAATGGTTATGAGGTCGGTCCCGGAGACCAAGCCCTTGCTGAAAGAGTTATTGGATTTCAAAAACAAACATTAAATAAATTTATTAAAATATTTTGTAACAAATGTAAAAATATAGTATATAAATATCAAGAAATAAAAGAGTTAATTATATTATGCTTAAAATTTGTGATAATCTTAAAACCTATATATCTTTAAATAAAGCTGTTTAATCCAAAACATCATGGAACTGTTTTCATAGTTGTAGTATTAACATGCATGAATATACTAGTTCTTATAAAGGGTAGAAAATCTGAAAATTGGTACTTACAATAGACATTACAGGTAAAGGATGGGTGTTATGCTATTTCAGATTACTTGATAGGGATTTTATTCTAGTATAATTTGTCAATTGTGCCACTAATATTACATTGATTAATTTATATTTTTACTACCATAATGGGAGATGGAATACCAACTACACGACAAGGTTTTCTTACCACCCTTAATGGTAGGACCTTATTTCTTTCTCATTTCATTTCTTCTGAGACCAGTCACCTTCCCGCAACTGTTTGCACACAATGAAGATTGATACAGATGTGGAACACTGTGGGCTTAAGCACCCACATCTTGTTCTCATTATAATTTGTTTTTACATTTTGTTCTTTACATATGAGGCTTTGTGAAAGGAGATTAAGACTTATAGATGATATTTCACCCATTGTGGGTCCTACTTCTGCAGTAACCTCCAAAGACCAGGACACATCTTGGATTCCACATTATAGCCTGTGACTTTATTTTGATTATGCATCATCAAATTGTTTATTGTTATGTGATATAAATATATTCATCATAGCTTTGTTGCTATCCACAGGTAGATGCATCAGCAAAGATGGTGATTTTTTATTCATACTACAGTGTCATACCCTTTTGGAAGTTTTTATTAGGTCATCAAGAAATTAATGTCATTTTTGTTTAGATGAAATAGTCTACATTGTTATCATTGATGCTTTTCCATCTTACAATCAGGTTGTTAATGGTATGAAGCAAAAAACATGTTGATGTCCTCTTTAACACGTTTCCCCATTAAGAT